TTGGACGATGTCGACGTGCCTGAGGTCAGTGCGAGCATGCAATCGAGCCTGCTGCTGTCCAAGATTCTCAAAATGCAGGGCTCGTTGCTGAAGAGGTGCTGGCGCGCCAATGCACACGATGTGGTGATTGATGCGTAAGTCGATTACCCAATGTGCGCCCGCCTTGGCCAAGCAGACGAGCTCAGCTTTGACCGCTTCCTCTCCCTCCCACGTTTGCATGCGACAGGTGCTTGACCTTCGTGTCTGCCGCGCTTTCCATTGCTGGTCCATACTTCCTCAAGCGCATCCTGGAAGCAATCCAGGCTGCCGACGTCGCCAGCGGCGGTACAGGGCGCGTTCCAAAGTCCGCGTATGCCCTGCCCCTGGCTGCCTTCTTCGCGGCTGTGTGCAAAAGTCAAAGCGATGTGCAGCACCTTTTCGCTGGTCGACGTGCTGGCGTCCGCGTGCGCGGCGAGCTGATCTCTCAGATCTATCACAAGGCTCTCAAGACGCGCGCCATGTCCGCGGGACGGACAGAGGTCGAAGCGAGTTCGCCAGTCGCCGTGGATAAGATGAGCAAGCGGGATCGTAGAAAGAGCAAAGGCAGCTCGAACAATGTACCGCCGGAGCAGCAACAGCCGGCGGGCAAGGATTTGGGGGCCATCGTATCACTCATGGCAGTTGATTCCCAAAAGATTAGTCAGCTCGTGTCCGGTGCGTACTTTCTATACTCGAGCCCCGTGGAAATTTTGGTCGCCGGCATCTTTCTGTACCGCCTCCTAGGCTGGTCAGCGGCCGTTGGCTTCTCCGTCCTCCTGGTCTCTACGCCTCTACAGTCATACCTGACTCGCAGAGCGATGCATATTACGCGAGAGCTTGGCCAAGCTCGAGATCGAAGGACTGCCCTCATCGCCGAGCTGTATGCAGCCCTTAGACCTGTGCGCTACTTCGCGCAAGAAGAACAGTGGACGCAGCGCGTCCGAGATGCGCGAGAGGTGGAGCTGCAATTGCTCAAGAAACGTCAAGTGCTGAGCGCTGGCATTGCTGTGCTATGGGCTGCCGTCCCTGCCGCCATCACGACGATCTCCTTCTTGACCTACATTCGTACCGGGAACCGTCTTGGCATCGAGGTGGCTTTCCCAGCTATTCAAACCATCTCTGCTATGCGCGCAGCGTTGAGCATCTTACCAGTCTACATCACCAACCTGCTCAATGCGGGCGTCTCCATGGAGCGTATTGAAACGTACCTCGCCACGGACGAGGTGCCGGAGTGGGTCTCCACCTTGGAAGCGAGCCACTCTCCAGTCGTC